GGGTGGGGGCGCCCGGTATTTTTGATAATAGCGGTCATCAGCGGCTTCTGAGCCGCTGATGACAGCTATTAATTTAAAGGGGACAGTCTGCTGAACAGTTCTACTATAAGCTGATGGTCGCTAAAGCGACCATCAGCTTATAGTAGAACTGTAAATGCCAGGTCCGTATGGCATACTGACCTGGCCAGCTGGAAGCACTTTTGTAGGTCCGTATGCCATACGTCCTTGGCAGCGAAAGGGTAAACTTCAAGTTGGAACGATATCTTTTAGATATGGCTTGTTTTAAAGGCTTTTCTATAGTAAATGTCTGTTGAGTTATTGATATTTGTGTGGTATGGAATGATCCATTAGGCTGTTTATCTTTAATGATAACATATTGTATACTAACTTCTTGATTATGTGTGGATTGCATTACAGCTCCAAAATATGCTCCTTCTGATGTTGGGGGTGGAGGTGGAACCAATCGAGAGCTTACAGTGACATGGACAGTGAGTATATATGAAATTATTCTACAAATTGATTAAAATAGTGTTCTGAAGATGGTATCTGGAGAAGGAATGCAGGCATTTCTATATTTATCCGGGGAAGGGTTGCAATCTTATCCTTCATCACTGACAGATAAGGCCGTGACTGAATTCAATTTTGCATGGAATCTTTATAAATTTGGTAGGCCATTTACTGAAGGGATGATTTGGACAGTGTGGTCTGGAGGGTTATACCAAAGTGAGAGTAATACCTAAATGCCATATGTATGCACAAATAAGAAAATTACTCTGCCAGACAAAGACAATTTCCTTTTCTGCTAATTCTGACACATTCTGGGATGTGGACCTTCACAGGCACACATTTTTGTTACAGTTTAAACTATTTTGGGTTGTGGAATATAATTCTTAATGATGGGAAGAAGCTGCAAGTTGTCATATTATAAACTTTTTATAATTTACCAGTTCACTAAAAGGTTGTTGTAGAACTGGAAAGAGTGCAGGGAAAGGTGACCTAAATAATAAATGGCGTGTAGACTCTCAGCTATGAGGATAGATTAACTGAACTGTATTCACATTTGGGAGAGATGATTTAATTGGGGATATAATCACCTTGAATAAACCTATAAATGATCCATAGAGTAAACTTAGTGGAAAGATGCTCACTTCAAGATACAAGGGTATACTTTGGGAGGAAATTAGTTTTAATCTCTAAATATGGAAAGGGTGTTGTACTGTAAGACCTGTGAAAATGTGAGAAGAGTCTTCTCCAGGATCTAGTTCTGGACCTCTCAAATATGCTGCTTCAAAACTGTACTGAACATATTTTTCAAGGCAAAAAATATAACTTTTTTGGATTAGTTCTAAGATTAGTGTTCTATGGATGCAAGTTTTTTTTTGTAAAATTAAATAATGTGCATTTTTAAAATATCTTAATATATAACTATATTGTTTTAAAACTATTTAGTACCTAACAACTAAATGTATTTTTCCCTATAGCCTTTAGTGCGGGAATATCATTATGGTGATGGATTTGGATACATTGTTGCATTTAAACCTCATACTGAAAGAGAATGGAGAAAAGTGACAGTTACCAATCCTGAGAGTGGTCGATATGTTCACAAGGATGATACTATTACCCCAGCTACGCAGTTTCAAGTAAAGGTTCAAGCCTTCAATAGAATGGGAGAAGGTCCATTCAGCAGCACTGCTGTTATTTACTCTGCAGATGAAGGTGAGTTTAAAAGTTGTTTCTGTAGTTGTAAAAAAAAAGAGCATATGTTACCATATAATCAGATATCTCACCATGCAATCATCTTTATCAATATAATGATGCTAGTTCTTCAATTTCTGGACACTATGCCAGGTGAATTAGTCTTGGTTTGAATAATGCTATCTCTTCAAGACACTGTAACAGCATGCCGCTACACCAAGGGAAAACATGCTGGGGTTCCAGCTGGGGAAGCCAATTTGATGTAGTTATGGAGATGAGAAGAGTCCCAAACATTCAGAAATACAGAGGAAGAAATCTTTTAATGGAAATCCTGTATTTTCATGTGATGTGCTTACATGTGCAGTTAAACCACATAAAAGCACAAACATTTTCCTGTAATGTAAGGGAGGCTTTTTTCTACCATGCGGTTATTCCGCAGATGCATACAGAGGTGTACGTAAAGTGAGCCATAAGTCTGCACTTGTACATGGAGAGGAAATAACATTGTAACAGCTAACACTGCCAATGGATTGGCAATAGCAAATGCTGCTGTCACTGGCTGTATGACAAGGAAAGGGTTAAAATTATTCTGATGATTAGGAATAAACAATGTTAATAGTTCGGCAAGCTCTGGTCAGAACTGCTTTAACAGCCTGGCTGAGAATGATAAGGAATCAGGAGAAAAAGAATCTTGGAAAAGCTTTTCTGCATTTACGCATAATATTAATTTACATGCAATAGAATGGCACAACCCTTCCTGACTGACTGTAGTGGTGGAAAAGGAAGTTGGAAAGGCTGCACGACATCATGAGCTAGCCCACCAGGTATCCCCTTGATGTTAAAATAGTGTGTGGATCCTTCTGAAACAAAACACATGAAGTGAGTCAGTCTGATTAGGGGTTATATCTCTAACTTGAAATTAAATAGAAAATGAGGGAACATACGATGTGGACACTCACTTCTCCTTTCTCAGTCTCTGTTAAGGTGCCCATACACCTGCCGATTATCGTATGATAATCATGGGTAATCCCGCGATCGTAGGATAATCGGCAGATGTATGGGCAGCGTGCGCCCTCTTCTACTGTAAGACAGAAAGTCCATGGTCACATCGCACTCCTGACCGCCAAATCCCTTTGAAAAGCGGGTGCTGCGGTAGTCAACGGGTGGCATCCGTTATAATCACAAATAAAGATAAAGACACCAGCACTCCAAATTCATAAGCAAATGTCTATTTATTGACGTGCAGCATAGTAAACAGCTGTTTACTATGCTGCACGTCAATAAATAGCCGTTTGCTTATGAATTTGGAGTGCCGGTGTCTTTATCTTTATTTGTGATCTTTATTTGTGATTATAACAGCTGTTTACTATGCTGCACGTCAATAAATAGACATTTGCTTATGAATTTGGAGTGCCAGTGTCTTTATCTTTACTCTTCTACTGTAAGGTCGCACGACATTTGTCTTCCGAGCACGCTTGAAAATCTGCCGAAAATCGTACGATTTTAGGCGGGTTAGTGGCATGCTCTGGAGACGAATGCCGCACAGGCCGGTGTGCGCGAACGCACACTGCCCTCTCAGCACTGCAATCATCGCAAGTATGATCTGCCTGTCCAAGATGGGCAGATCGTACCAAATTTTTATTACTTTACAACCATCGCGGAGCGAAAGTCGTGCAATGGTTGTAACGTGTATGGCCAGCTTAAGGTGAAATTCCTAATTAGACATGATTACTCAAATTCCCTCTCAATTGAAAGATACCATAACAGAGACATAGTACACCACTTTTATATAGTAAAGTACAGAATATATTTTTTATCAAATTGGAACCTAAAAAAAACAAAAATATAAGCAAACACACATTTAAAAAAATAAAATGTGTTTATATTTTTCATTTTAGATGCTAATTTAATCAAATATTAATTTGGCACCTTTTTATATATAAGTGTTGTAATATGTCTCAGTTATAGTAACTCTAAATTGAGAGCAAATTTGAGTATCTGGATCTCTAACTTTGCTATCAATTCTTTATCTGCAGGATTTCTATGACTTAGACTTGGTTAATTTTTAATATTTTAAAATGCTAAATACATTAACAATCCATAAAATGTAAAGTTGTTAACAAATAATAAATTCCTTACATTTTTTTCTTGCAGAAACACCCATGACCTAGTTTAATTAGGCAAAGAACAAAAAAATTTGCAAAATGCAATAGCCGGTAGAAATCAGATTTGAGTTCTGTAATCAGAACATTTGAATCTGATACTATGGTTACTGCACATTGCTCTGTGTCTAACTGAAGATTCCCAACAGTACTGATAACACAATGATATGAGCCAATATTTTTATTAACTAGATGTCTTTTACATGTATAGTAAGTGATGCAACTTAAAACTTTTAATTTACAAAATGCTAAAACTACCATTGTCTTTGCTCTCTTTTCCTAGCACCCACAGAATACCCTACAGGCGTGAGGGTAGTAGTATTGTCCTCCTCTGAAGCCAGTGTATCTTGGCAGCCAGTGATTGGACAAACTGTTGCAGGTTACCAGGTGAGAATGCAGTCTTTTCATGATAAATAAACACAGCTTTTAAATGTTTGAATATGAATTGCTTTTGCCAAATCCTCGAATACTTCGAAAAGAATAGGTTTAGATTTAAAGAGAAATAAATATATTTTTGAAATGTTTATATTTTTTTAATTCATCTTTCGTGGCATGAAGAACTCGAGAAACACAGGGGATGCCTTTTCTGGCCACTTGCCTGGCTGTGCCTGGCTTTGATGCCACTAAATCAGAAAAATCATGCACTACAGGGGGTTAGAAGTATCTAGGTTTGTTAAAAATACAAAGCCCCTTCTAAACAAACCACAATGGGTGGTTATAGTAAATTTATGTTACTGTTGTTATAAAAGCATGATATTTAAAGAGTGTCTAAAAAACTCCTTTTCTATCTTTTTTTTTTTAAAAGCTCCTTTTCTTAAAGGGAAACAATAAATGTTTTGTGTCCATTTTAGTTTAGTTTTTATGTTTAGAAGTTTTTTATTTTATTCTTGACCATAATAATAAAGAAATGATGTACAAAACTACTTACTTTTAAAGGTCCGGTACTGGCGTATTCAGGACAAAGAAGCAGCAGCCCACAGACTACAAATTGAAGGCTTAGAAACTGTCAGACTGGAAGGATTATTGCCCAATACTTTCTATAAACTAGATGTTTGTGCATTCAACAGTGCAGGAGATGGACCTAAAAGTCACACTGTAGAAATGGAGACCAAGAAAGCACGTAAGTACACTTTTTAAAAATTGCTTTTATTTGTTGACCCACTAAATGTTTTAACGAAAATTTTGCTCACATTAAAACTCCTAAACTGTAGGCAGGTATGTAAAAAATATATATCAAGGTGCATTCATGTATGTTGACATACCTTGTAGACCTTTCCAGGAGCCCCAAAATGAACTATACAATAAGTGTCTTCAGTTTCCAAAGCCTTTGACATCTTTACACACCTCACTAATCTCTATAATGCACCAATTAACCAGTTAATCTCTATAATGCACCAATAAAAGTAGCTGTATTAGTAGGCAGGACAAAGCACAGCTTTAGGAACAGAAGTCACTATTTGCATATTAGAGCTCTCTGGAAGTCCTAAAGCTTCTAGGTGCCTCAGCTGTCGCCAGATCGCTTCTACAGCCGGGTGAAGGGGGCCCCCCCCCGACTCCCCTGCCATGCTTACTGGGCTCCGTTGCCCCTCCTACGGGCCCGGGACTAGCTTTTCTGGTGTTCGGCGGGGAGCTGGGGAGGAGATGGACGAACCTCCGTTCATCGATCCCCTCCCCGTTTTATGGGACCGGGAGCGATGCAGATTGCATCACTTTCGGTTCCATAGCTGTCAGTACTGGGCTCCGGAAGCCCAGCTATAAGCTATTGACGTGCGATCTGCACTTCAATAGCTTATTTGGAGTGTAAAGGTGACACTGGGAAACTTTTGGACCCCCAGCATCACCTTAAAGAGTACCTGTCACCACCATCTGCTATCACATAGGGGGCTTGTAAGCCCCCTATGTGATAGCAATTAAAGTAAAGTATAAAAAATTAAAATAACAGTTTTTAAAATTAACATGAAATAAAATAGATCTAAAAAAAAACAAAACATTTTGTAAAGTCCCCCGCCCCACGAGCACGCGCGTCACCGCGTAAACACGCGTTGGGTGTGCCCACTATGAAAACGATGAACGCGCTACATATGTTGGGTATCACTGTGCACGCCGGACTGAGAGCAATAATTCTAGGGCCAGTATTTTGGGTATCTTTTAACTGATGACCTGTGGGGGCTTTTAAAGTGTTGTCTATGGACTTTTTGGGTTACTGAAGTTTGTCGCTGTTTCACGGACGCACATAATTTTTAACCTGGGCATGTTGGGTATCTATTTACTTGTTGTAGCCTCATCTTTTATATGTTATTCAAACAATGGGTATTGTATTGTGCTTTGGGGCATTTAAGTACATTTTTCTCTACATTCTGGGGTTTCATAAGGAGTTGCGCTAATATCGTGCAACATAAAAATTTGCAACTGCCACCATTTTATTCTAAAGGGTCTTGGCTTTCAGAAAATATATAATGTTTGGGGGTTTTAAGTAATTTTCAGGCCTAAAATGTGAAATATAACATGGGTGCAAAAAATGAAATAAAAAGGCCCCCCTATGAGGAACTAAATGGATCGATTTATATCATCTATGACTATTTAAAAAAAAAAAAAGCGTTAATAAATTTTAAGAATTTAGAAAAATAAATAGATTTGATTTTGCTGTTATATTTATTTAGGAAAGCAAAGCATTGACATACGGGAGGATTTCCCTGTACCCACTTTTAATAAATTGGCAAAAAGGAGTGAACTAAAAATAAATAAAAGAACAGTGAAATGTGGACTTCACAGCTCCATAAATAGTCCTCATTGGGTCCTCCTCAGCACTCACCGCTCCAAATTTGCCCATGGATTGCAAAAATGAAGTCCTCATTGGGTGCTAAGTTCCCATTCTCTGAAAAAACACTGTGGCCAAGGCAAACTTTCCTGCTGGCTCTGTAAACTCCTAGTTCTGCTCTTTTGTAAATGGATGGGTAGTTGCGCTTAGCTCCATAACTAGTTACATAGTTACATAGTATTTGGGGTTGAATAAAGACATTAGTCCATCAAGTCCAACCTATTAGGATAAAATTTTTTCTTTCTATTCTGACACTACTCCGTGTCAGAATAAAGTAGAGAAGAAAAAAAACGTGTTTCTCTCCTGGGCGGCCGGGAGCGGGAGACTCCCGGAGCGCCCGGGGGAGTTTGCATAGACCCCTTAGTGTTAGAGGTTAGGCTAGTATTAACATTCAAAATGTAGGATATTCTGGTTCTTTTAGATTTCAGGTTAAATGTTAAGGATATATTTTATGTATTAGGTTAAGGATAGTTTAAGTGAAAGGTTTAACCTCCCTGGCGGTATGATTATTCAGGATTTTAGCATCCAAAAGCAGTACATTGTTTTTCATGGAAATTTGTTGTTTTATATTGTAGGCCTGTAATTCTTAGTAATCTCCAATTCCCCCCCTCCCCGCTCTGATCCTCCAGCGCTGACTGGAGGAACGGACGGGAGAGGAGGCGGGTACAGCTGGCTCTGCCTCTAGATAGGCAGAGCCATCTGTCACTCATGCAGCTGGGTGGATATCAACAGTAATGTCGGGATCCGTCCCGACTGCGGCGGTTTCAGTATACCGCGAGCTGTAGCTCGCGATATACTGAGCTTTGGGTCAGGGGAGGACACTAGTATATGTCCTCCCGTGACCCTTAAGAGAACTATGGGGAAAAACTCTTACCCCATAGTTCTCCTTTAACTGTTCGTGGGTGGTTAAATGTTAAGAGATAATTTTAGAGGTTAAGATAAGGTGTAAGGATTTGGGTAAGGGTATGATTTGGGTCAGGTTATTGGTTAGGTTCAATTTAGGTCTCTAAGTAAATACTATGGTAAATTCTGTTTCACCAAAATCCTGGTGCCGAAAACTACCAGAACTGAATGGCAACATACAGTATCACATGACAAGTTCAATCTTCCATATATATATATATATAT